TGTATGATGAGTGGTGTATGATGAGTGGTGTATGATGAGTGGTGTATGATGAGTGGTGTATGATGAGTGGTGTATGATGAGTGGTGTATGATGAGTGGTGGTTGAACAGCTGTTGAATGTCCGTAACACGGAAGTTTTGCACACTAAACTTCCTTTGACTAGTAGCTCCTGGCATCGCTACTAACAACGGGCGCTACTAGGAGCAAGGACGCTAGCCGCTAGCAGAAAGAAGGCGAAACCAGCGAAAAACTGAAGTCTCTCGGAGAGGAAGAGAGGACTAAGATGAAAGAGAGGTCTTCTCCCAAGCGCTAGTCAGATTTCACGTGTATGATTCACTGGTTCATCAATCCCACAATTCATTCTGTACTTCTGAGTCTACGAGAGGTCCTTTCTAAAGATGCATGGATCGTGTTGGGTGTGATAAAACACAAGAGATTATTCCAAATAACTGCCATTCGGGTTCAATTCAGATGTGTGTTGGAGTAAGTCTGCAAGAAGTTAGATTGATGGGTTCAAGACACAAGCTCACCGCTAGGATTGAACCTTTGTCCTCCTCAAAGACTCATCGAATCACTTGTTCAAATCCAGGTGACAATGTACACACTCGCGGAATCCTGGCAAAGAGGATTCAGAAGAGACTGTGCTTGATAAAATCTCACGGAATCAAAACGGTTAACAAAACAAGGGAGACTCATCTCAAACAAAACTGTTTGGTTCACATTGCATCACCTAGCAAACAAAACCTTGCATCACCTTGCAGCCAACAGCACAACCCCTCCGTGAAGGCGTCTGCATCCAGCCCAGCGTGCCTCGAAGACGTCGAAGGTCCTGCAAATGTGTGGGTGGTCCAAGTCTTGCAGCTTCTCCACCTGGGAAGACAAGCGGTGAGCTCCACTTGCAGCTTTACTTTCGCTTCACTTTAGCACATATGTTTAACGTGCTCTCTGAAAAATAGATCCTGATCCATCCTGATCTGGGATACAAAATAGGCAAGGAAAATACTGGATTTACATGCACGCACGCTGAACGAGATACTGACGCACCTAAGAAGTCTCTTGCCAACTCTCCACCAGGAAGGATGGTCTTTAAGACTGCTCTTATGGAGGGAGTCTCAAGCCCAAAAGCACTGAACCCTTTGAAAGCAAGAGAGCACTCAAGACCATGCAAACACACATGCAAATTGCTTGAGACGAGTCAGCCCAAAACAACTCGTTAGGGTATGGCAAGCTCTTTCAACATGTCCACAAGCAAGCTCGGTCACACAATAGTTTAATCGTGACACATCTGCCCTTGGAGGAGATGGTTCAAATCGAGACATCACCCAGAATATTATATTTCTCAGGGTTGGTCGGTGCAGTATATCTTTTGGGGTAGACTGCTACGAACCTTGTTTCTAAGGCTTCGACATCTGATCTCCATGCAGGACCGCAAAGCAACTTCCTGTCACACCATTGCCAGGTGGACCGAATGAACAAGTTTTATGCTCTGGGCTCGCACCTCCTTCCTATGTACTGCACGTATGTCAATGTAAAGAGCGTGGTTGACCCTCGGCTTTCCTAGTGACTTCACCATCTGCAACTGGAGAAGATCGAATTGAAGAACAAGTCATATATATAATTACAAAGCGGTCTGCAATCACCACCGCTGCCTTTTAGTGACTCTGTACTGGGAAATAGCTATGCCATGTGGCCTTTGCAGAACATCGTCCTTTGTGCTGATTTCGTCATCCTTTCCACATGCCAGGAAGACTTGCTGATGCGCTTCAAAGCACATTCAGAGTTGGTTGGGACGTGGAGAGTTCGGACCTGAAGATGCTGCGTCTGTTCCCACTGAAACAAGGATGAGCAAGTGATGCTACAGTTGGAGATGATTTCCTGTGTTGGTCACCAAGCCTCAAGAGACCAATGCACCTCCAACACCTCACACTGAGTTCCCATACCACTGCGCCAAGAGAGCAAATGCCCAAATAGCAACCCGGACCAGCCTCTGTCTGGAAATCCTGATTTGATGCTCACCCAGAATTAGGAATTGGAGGGGGGCCCTCCAACATACTTCAGCACAAGAATTCAGGCCACTCAAACTCCTATCTGCTGGGGTTGTGCAAAAAGGGGCCACCTTCTCAAGGCCGATTCAAGACTGGGCGACAACTCAGAACTGCGAAGGCCAGTTCATTTGGACCGCGAACTCACGAACCCACATGGTAAGCACAAAGCTCCCTCACCTCCGGCAAAGACCGGCTGCCGCTTGCGCGGTAGCGCAGTACTCCGCGCCTGGGTGTTGCCGAGTTGGCTGCTGGATGTGGAAGTGATCCCACTTTTTGGCCAAGTGCTCACTGTTGATCTTTTCAACCCAACATCAATGGCAGTGACTGGCAGTGTTGGGCCCCAGGCATCATGTCATCGGAGCCCACAATCACCCTGAGGTCGGGAGACACTTCAGGTCACATTAACTGCCTCATCGAGCCTTTCAATCGATCGAATCACGAGTCGTAAGTCTTCTATGTCTTGTATATCCTTTATGGGGGTTGTGACCAAAAGGCTTGCACCAAAGTAGGTCTTGTTCAACAATCTCCAACAGTCCCGATCCACCAAATCCATGTGCTTCGCGCCAAGGTAGCACACCCAATCTTGGGAACTCCCACGATCCATCAAGGCCATTCACATGCGGACTCAGGCTCGTCTAAGGCTTCCGGCTCATCGTGAGAACCACAAAGGCTGCCATCCTCAGTGACTCGTCCGGTGTGGAGTTGGATAAGAGCCCTCCAAAAGAAACCTATCGGCTGACGAGATCCTATGATCTTATTGTCGATATCTGAAAATATGCCAAACACAATCGATTCATATCCTCTTCGTCCCACTGTCTCACAGCATCTCACAGGTAGGAGCCATGTTTGCAAGTGTTCCTGATGTTCTAGGAACCAAACCCTTTCAAGGAAGCCTGAGCCCTCTGCATCCTGGCGCCTAAGAAGCTACTCTAGCCGCTAGCCAGTAGGCGTAGGTACTACATGGTACTACCTACTCTAACTTCCCTACCAGAAAAGAAAAGAAAAGAAACATGTTGTCCAGCTTCACTGTGTCAGGACTCGCTGAATTGATGTCAACTGAGCTCTGCGGCTGCACAGGCACAGTGAAGTCGCGGCTCGGAGATGCAGCCTGTGAGAGCCGTGTGAGAGCTGTGTCTAATCCGTGCCTTTTTGGCTTTTTGGGAGAAGTTTCTGCTCTTGGGAAAGGCTTGTGCATGCTTGTGCCTTTTTCGGCATGATGGCTCGAAGCAAGTTGCCAACCATCCTCCCCAAGAGCTGTGCCTGAGGAACAGCCCTGGCCCATTCGGTGTCCACAGCAGCCAGTAGCACCCTAGAAGCGTGTTGGAGGGAATTTGGCGACCCATGGAAGGTGACCAACTTATATAAGGATGCCTGAAAAAAGAAGTTTGCCACATGACCAGTCAAAGGGCTGACAATCTGGATTGCCCATTGCTGAACAAATACAAGCAAGACCGTCTTGCTGCAGGACGTGTTTCCGTGGGGCAGCGGTCAGCACGCCACTGTGATGACAACAAAGAAGTTACTGGAAAGCTTGCAAGAAGGCATGCTTCCCTGCAAAAAGAAAACACAATATCCCTCACCCTTGCTGCGAGTGCGATTGCTTGACCTGTGAAAACCATCAACAAAAAGCTCTGTGAAAAGGTCTCAATGGCTGCAAACAGCAGATCTGCCTCCAAATAGCGGCTGGCTAGCCGCGTGCGCCACGAGCGCCACCCTGTCGTTCCTATCCTTGCCTAAGTGGAAACCTTTGAAGCCCTTCTAGCGTCTCAGGTTATGTTGAGGATTTGTATATTTTGACCTTCCAATGGGCTCAGTCAATGTTGGGGGGTTGAGCATGAGCAGCTCAGGAGTGATGACAGTGAGAAATTCATTCGCCCCCCAAAAAGAGGCCTTTTAAAGGATCCTAAACTGTGAGCCCATGCAGCACCGAGAAGTGGCCAAGCACAAACACAAAGGTAAGGTTTCTTTGGAACAACTCAATCCTATCAGAAGAACAGCAATAGCCTTAGCAAACCCAGTGCAGTCGATTCATGAGGTGAGCCAGTATTTAGTCACTATGTTAAGAAGATTCAAGTGACAAAACGTCTGAACACAAAGAGTAACAAACGTCACAAATGGCCATGAATCCATCGACTCCCTTTTCTGCTTTCAAACGATCAGCTGCAACGGCAGCTTGGAGATGACCGACACATAGGGTTCATGAACGGTCACGAACGTGGGAGATTTCCCACGAAGGAGTTCATGACACAACAGGACCTCGGATTGCACAAGCGACTGCAGTGATTCCCGTGTTTGTCCATATAGAGTCAAAATGAGGGCGCTAGCGAGGCAAAAGTTTCAACTGAGCTCTTCCAGAATGCTGGAAATGCAAAGGATTTGTGCCAACCAGGGTCGGGACTGATGTCAGGAGTCAGAAAAAATTAACACTAGATGTATGTGTCCATCCATCCTTGGTCCAACATGCGGTGTGAAAAGGATTACATCAAGATATATATAATTTTTTCAAACTTGTTAAGTCACATGTAGTAATCTGAAGAAATAACTGTGGATTTAGTTATTTTGCAATGTGGTTCAAATGACCATTGCTGGGGACAAGTAGAAAAAGAATTAACTCTGGACTTAACTTTTTTGGGAGACGAGAAAGCTAGAAAGGTTTACACTGTACACCAAATAATGAACAGTGTCTCAGTGACACTATAGTTTGGGACACCGAGAACAAGAATCAAATCTGGATCTATATATATAAGTCAGTTCAAAGTCTGGTTGAAATTCCTCTTGGGAGACTAGGAAACTAGAAACGCTTACACCAGAGAATTAACAATGCCTCAGTGACAGTATACTTTGGGACACAGAGAAAATGAGTTATCTCTTTTAGTAGTTCTAGCAACCATGCCAAAAATGAAAAGACTTAATTCCTCAAGCGACCATGCCAGAAATGAACAGATGAAAATTGTTTTTTTTATTGTTTTTTACGCTCTGTTTTTCACAAGTATATTAACTCCGTTTTTTTTGGCACATGCAACACTTATATATTTGTCAAAACCGATATTACTATGTTTACTTTACATATACATCCATGTTATTTGTTCATGTCTCTTTTCTGTCTATTCCTTTATGTTTTAATGGAGAACATTAAAAACAAGTGTGTTCTCGGAGTGTATGAAAAACAAATGAAATTGACAGGTTTGTAATTGTGTTATGTGATTTAAAAACCTTTTGATATGTCTGGATTATCATTGAATAGTTCAACTAATTCTGGATCACCATTATTGGTTGATTTTGAGTTAATTCGTTTTAACTCTGGAAAATATTTTTTCCCCGACCTGCCACCTAGGACTCGAGCTCGTCTCCAGCGAAAAGGCCTCGAAATGCCTGGAGACGAGTATCCAAAGTGCGTCCAAAAAAGTGGTCTGCCTCGCTCTGACCATAATTCACCGCGAACCTGATGGCCTGGTGGATGTGACATGATGTGACATGTTGGCCAAGAGGCAAACACAAAAATGTATCGAGATCAATGTAACAAGTGGTAAAAGGATATGTATTGTCATGTATATGTTCCTCTAAGCTTTCGGCCTCGAAGGAGATCTCTCCCGTGGAGCCGCGGCCTCATGCTTCAAGATTCTTTCATCAACAGGCTCTCGCCGGTTGGTCTCACTTATCCTCAATAGCCTGCAAGTGCCAACAGCAAGCCTCTAATTAGTCTGGAAGTCCCTGTGTGTCCTATCTCTCAGGCCTAAAGGCCTTCAGCATCCTTGAAAAACAAACGAAGCGCGCCGGCTATTTTCCAGTTGAGCTTGGGCCACTTGAGCCACAAGGTGCGAGGTCATGTACAAGGATGTACAAAGGTGGAAACTTCTGACGCTCCACCTAAAAAGTGTGGTGTATGGTAACCACATCTTTTTCTCCACTTCCTTAGACCTCGCCGGTCTCCACGTAGCGACGGGCGTACCCGTCAAAGTCGCTGTCCCACTGGTTCGTGATCACAGCCACGCTGAAGGCAGCAAAGTCTTTCTGTTCTTCTCGTGTCCAACTCAAAAGGTGGTCGAACACCATGCGACTGTAGCGTCCACCATAGATCGACGTCAGTCGAGTCCTCAGAAATTCCTTAAGCTGGTTGTTGGGGAAAATCCCAGCTTCTTTCAACCTTCGTGCTCGAGGTTGCTCATCCGGCTTCAGCCACCGGATCAGGGTGTCATAGTCCCACCAATCTTCATCCACAGGCGGCATCTCTCCAGGCGGGTCAGCCCATACACCGCGGGCTCGTTCTTCAGCTCGTTCTGCACTTCGTCTGAGCTGCTCATCAATCTCAGTCTCATCAATCTCCATAGGGCTTGCTTCATCTCTTTCGGATTGGCTAGGGCGATATCTCCTTTGGTATCCTCCCAGAGGATTGCTCATGAAGTATTCTTCACCACTTTCAGCATCATCTGAGTGTTCAAGAATTCTGTACTCTTGTAGTCGTCCAAGTTCAGGATTCCAGTCTGTGAGCCAACTGCCGGTCCATTCGATGTTCCATGACCTTGCATTACTCCAGTCATGTTGGTGTTCTGCTTCTGGTTCTGAGTCTGCTTGTTCTTCTCCATCAGGATCGTCCAATACCCTTGTCTCAGGGTTCGCTTCATTTACTTCTTCTCCTTCATCTCTAGAACCTTGAGGTAGTAGAGGCTCATAAGCTCGAGGTTCAGGATCTGGATGCCATTCTCCAATTCCCGCAGCCACGCTTGCTCGCATGATCATCCCAACCTGATCACGTAGATCTTGTTCGCGTTGGAACTCCATTGTCACTTCCTGTCGAAGAAATCTGCAGCAGGTTCTGAAGCAAATGGAAATCTTCATCCTATACCTGTAGCCCATGTACACACCAAAGGCAAACACCACCATGGTGTAGACAGCCACAATCTGGAAAAGTGTCCATCCAGATGGTAGTTCACGAACTGCAGAAGCTTCTTCTCCTCGTACTTCGCGATGTAGGAGCCACTGCTCTCACCAAGTTTGTTGGGATCTTGGTGCCATGGCTGTTGTCATCAGTGAACACTGCCTGGACCATCTCGTTCTTCACCTCCTTCATCTTCTTGGCAAGCACTTTCTTTTCCACTTCCTTGTTGAAGGCGTCTTCTCCAACTCGAGTGAAAAACTCGTCTCTTCCTTCTGCTTGCATCTCCATGAGGCCAATCAAGTACATAAGGAATTCACGTCGTTGTCGGCTTAGGCGTTTGGTCCCCAAGTCCGCGACGTTCCACAAAGTTGGAATGCCTTCCATCTTCAAAGTTTCTTTCTTGACCTCAAGCTGCATCCAAAGGTACTTGATGTCAATGTGTTTCAACCTGCCAACTCCAAGTCTCTCCGTGAATGCTCTGCAGGAACTGCTGTCGGTGATAGCCTTGATCAGCACTGCTCTTTTGCTTATGAACTGCCAGAGATCTTTCACTTGGATTGCTTCGGCCACACCACCAGCCGAGGCAAGAAATTCAGCCTCGCAACTGCTCAATGCAATGCTCTTCTGAGATCTACTCCAGCTCGTCACCACGCAGCCATTGAGAAACACGCAAACCGAGCTTACACTGTGTCGTCGTCGAGCTTGACTGCTTTTGTCTCCAGCCCAGTCGCTGTCAGTGAAAGCTTCCAAACAGTCTGGTCCTGAATCTTCCTCCACCTGGCACAGAATCTCTGCCTTCTTGCTTCTGTACTTTTGGTATGGCAACAGGAGTCCATACTGCTCAGTCCTCCGCAAGTAGAGGATAGCATGCTTGATCTCCATCTCAGCCTTTCTTGTGGGTCGTGCCATGAATTGGCTCAAATTGCGGATGCAATGCTGGATGTCGACCCGGTCTTGACTTACATAGAGTAAAGTTCCCAAAGCTGAGCGAAAGCGAAATTGGTCAGCTCCTTCCAGAAGTTCATCAGAATTTCCTTCAAGTTCAACCTGCATGCTCTCTGGAGATGCTTTGCCTGCTTTCTTCTCCAAACCATAAAGTTCCACCAAAGCAGGAATGTACTTCTCGCGAGGCATGATCACAATGCCATCTTTTGTGAAGTAGTGACGCTTCTTCAGACATCGCACTGCTTCCTCCTCTGACTGGTCAGCACGTGGAAGAATCCCTGATTCACTGAAAGTGAACTCACTTTTCACAGAGCCAAGCAGCCATTCCAAAGACTCCACCTCGCCAGCGATGATGAGGTCATCAACATGGCAAACGGCTGCTATTGCCTTGGTCTCACGGCGAAACAAAGAAGGTAAAATCAAATGACTCTTGAAGCCCCACTTCATCAAATGGTCTGCCAGGAACTCATACCATCGTGCTGCTGCATCTCGTTGTCCTGGCAAACATCTTGCAAGTGTCCAGTAGCGCTTTCTTCCCATCTCCAAGTCACCTTTGGGATTCCACCAATCTGGCTGTTCTACCAGCACAAGCTTTTGTTGTCGAACTAAAAGAAATGCGTCCTTGATGTCGACAAACATGATCTTCCAACCGAGAAGCACATGCGTTGAAAGAAGAAGGCGAGTCCCACTCAATGAACTTGTTGGTGCACAGGTCTTGGATGTGGATCCATCTGAACCACGGAACTCCCTTGCCACGAAGCGACACCTGCGCTTCCACTTCCTTTCTCTCACGCGCCAATCAAAGACACTTCTGGTTGTCAAAATGTCACCAGTCATCAACTCTTCTTCTGTTGGATCTCTGAGCACACCCATTTGCAACAATCTGTGAATCTCTTCGTGTCCAGGTGCTTCTTCAATCACCCTCAA